CCACTCCTCTAGCCACTGAGGGAGAAATAACACCAGTGCCTTCACCTGGTTTGATACAAGTTCTGGCATGAGCCTAAATGCCTACACTCATCCATTATTAAAAAAATTAGACTAGGAATCATTAGAAAAATATGGAGATCCGGGGTTATGCTATGACACAGATAAAACTTTATCTTGGAAAACCAGTGTTTTGATGTATACTTTATGTTACACCAAAGATGGCCCTTTCAGAATATAATGCTGCAGATTTCCAGGGAAAATGTGAAACTTTAAAAGCCAGTATTATAATAATACTGGGAATTATAATCTATATGTAGCAGTAATGTTTAAGCAATGCTACATTAGAAAATGGGCTAAAGGCTCGGCGCCTGTGGCTCAAGCGGCTAAGGCGCCAGCCACATACACCTAAGGTGGCAGGTTCGAATCCAGCCCAGACCTGCCAAACAACAATAATGGCTGCAACCAAAAAATAGCCAGGCATTGTGGCAGGCGCCTGTGGTCCCAGCTACTTGGGAGGCGGAGGCAGGAGACTCGCTTGAGCCCAGGAGTTGGAGGTTGAGCAGAGAAGCCATAGCACTCTACCCAGGGGGACAGCTTGAGGCTCTGTCTCAAAAAAAAAAGAAAAAAGAAAATGGGCTGAAGACCGGGCAAGGTGGCTCATACCTGTAATCCTACCACTGTGGGAGGCAAGGCAGGTGGATCCATTGAGCTCAGGAGTTTGAGACCAGCCTGAGCAAGACAAAAATCCTGTCTCTAATAAAAATAGAAAAATTAGCCAGGTGTGGTGGCAGGCACCTATAGTCCCAGCTACTTGGGAGGCTGAGGCAAGAGGATGGCTTGAGCCTAGGAGTTTGAGGTTGCTGTGAGCTATGATGCCATAGCACTCTACCCAGGGCAACAGAGTGAGATTTTATCCCCAAAATAAATAAAATAAAATAAAATGAAAGGAAATAAAAGGTAATCTTTAAGCTTTCTACAGGCTGCTTTCTAACTGATTGCTTTAATTGATAATTTGTTGTCCTGGTAATAATATTTAAAGTAGCACCTCTGTTTTTTTTTTTTCTGAAGGGATAAATATTTCTAAGATTTACTTTTTGGTTGGCCTGAAAAACTTAATGTTCTTCTCTTTTCCCTTCATGTATAGTATAAATAAGTGATGTGTTCCTTGTTCAAATAAGGCTTGAGAGTCTCTGTCACTTATCACACCCAAATTCAGTCGATGGGTACAAGGCACAAAAGCATGAGACAAACTCATCTGCTAAACAAGAAAAGAAAGAAACTATTTTTTAAATTAAACACATATATACATTAATTCAAAATTATTCTTTTCTTTGACTTCTTAAATTGGAGAGGTCAGACCCTGGTTTAACTCAGCTGGCCTCATTGCTGTCTTGTTCCACGTCAGTCCTTATGTGCTGGGCATACTGGTGTTCACAGAAAACTCAGCTCTGCTTCTTGGCCACAGACTCGAGTGCTAACCTCACTGCTGGTTATAATGGATGGATCATTATTCCCGTAGTTGATAAAATCATCCTTTCCAAGATTGGCTTAGCACAAATAGGGCACATCTTTTTCTTCTTCAAACATAAAGCTCCAATTCACCTCATCTTTTCAGTTTACTGTAATTCTACTTCTTGGTTTTGTTTTACCCTTAGCTGTCAGCATATATTTAAAAATTATGCAGACAAATTGAAAAAAAACATTCAACACAACTTACTGTAGGTGGCTATGACTGGACTTTTTTGCTGTGAAATCTGAGTCATGAGTAATGAAATAAACAGAAACTAACACTCACAGCAAGCATAAAATCATCTCTTAAGTAGTATCATCTATCTAAACAGTATTTTCAGCTGAGAAAAATCCAGTTCACCTTCATCACTTGCTGTCTCTCAAGAGAATGACTGACATTGTCCCATTTTTAAAAAGAGATTCCAAAACAAAGATTCCTCTGCCTGCCTTCCTAGAAAAGGGTACCTGTCCTCTTGATAAATGTTTATTATAGAAAATAAAAGTCAAAGGAAAAAATACAAATTACTTGTAATTAAAAACTCTTTTTAAAACAACACATTGAATATGAGAGTGCTTTATAACCTGTAGTGCCCCATACAAATGCAAAGTAGGATTAGAATCACCTCTGATACCAGGCTGGTCTCTGACTCAGTATAAATCTTTGTGTAGGTATCTGGGAATTTTGCTATCATCACAACTGTAGAAGCCAGCATAAGAGGAGGAAGAGAAAAAAAAAAAAAAGAAGAAGAAGAAGAAGGAACCAGAGAGCCAGAGCTAGAAAGGAAATGCAGAAGTCCTCCAATTCAGCGGACACCGAAACCCCTAGGTGGTCTCCTCAGAAGGACCCTCCTGGAGCCTGGTGATACCTCCTAGCAGCCAGGCATCCTAAGTGGGGAACCGGCTTATGAGAAAGCCCCTAGGGAAGGAACAGACCCTTCTTTCTGCTACTGTAAGTTCTAATCATAACCTTTGCATCTGTATCCAAGTGAAACCTGATAAAATCCCCTTGTTTCATGACAGACCTTCAAATATTCAAAAACAATTAGGATATACCTACTTCCCTGCCCAAATCTTTCTGCAGGCTGAACTGCAAAGCTAAAGATGTGAAAACTGGTGTCATTTAGCTAGTGTCTACATAACTAGTCTGGAACTTCAATGTGACTCAAACATTTATCTGCAATCTTGGTATGCAAAGTATATAAAGGTACCTAGTTGGTGCCCTTGAAGGATACGCAATTTAGTAAATTCAGTAGATGTGATTAATCTCAGTTACCAAACATGTGCCCACTAAGTTTGGGAACTATTTATGGCTGACCTTGTTCCATATAGAAGAAAACAGATCCATGCTTTTTCTTACTAGAAATATGAGAATATGCTGTATGTCTTAAAAACACCAACAGTTATTAATATCAGTATTGGTGCAAATGCAACCAACTGACTAGGTAATGTTGTTAACATCAATGTAACCAACACATGACAGATGAAAGAGTCAAGAACCCACCATGAACGCTCTGTTGTAAGTAAAAAGGATTCATTTGTTTCTTAAAAGTCAACAAAAATATCTAACTTCCCCAAAACTTGTTTGTTAGACTAATGTATTTAAATGTTACAGTAAAAATCTGATACACATGAATAATTGTCTTGTACTTTGGATTTTAAATATGACTAAATTTACTGAGTAATTTTAAGATGCATAAGATGAATGAAAGGTTTTTCATTAGTGTGTATTTGTATAAAACCCCACATATATACACATTCATATACATATATGTATATATAACCACACATCTTAAAGCCTTCCAAACATATTTCACATAGGATGAACAGTTATCCAAAGAAAATTTCAAAATATCTTTGTAGGTAAAAATCATTTTAATGTCAGTATCTTTTTCCTAACAATTCAATGGCAAGAAAATGCTGGGAACTTCTTGACTGTGCAAATAAAATCATTTAACAAAACAGTAACAAAGCTCTTTAAAGAAATTTCAAACTTGGCGGTGCGGTGCCTGTGACTCAGTGAGTAGGGCGCCAGCTCCATATACCAAGGTGGCGGGTTTGAACCTGGCCCCAGCCAAACTGCAACAACAACAACAACAAATAGCTGGGTGTTGTGGTGGGCGCCTGTAGTCCCAGCGATCAGGAGGCTGAGGCAAGAGAATCGCCTAAGCCCAAGAGCTGGAGATTGGTGTGAGCTGTGATGCCACAGCACTCTACTGAGGGTGACAAAGTGAGACTGTCTCTAAAAAAAAAAAAAAAATTTCAAACTTAAAAATTTAAAAATAGCAATTCTAGTTTTAACACTCTTACAGGTTTCCAGAAATGTGTAATACATACCAGTATTGCAGCTTGGTGGCTTGTATTCTGCTATAAAACTCGTTACTGCGCAAAGCGGGTGGATTGCCTGAGCTCGCAGGTTGGAGACCCTGAGCCAGAGTGAACCCTGTCTCTAAAAAATAGCCGGGCATAGTGGTGGGTGCCTGTAGTCCCCACCAGGGGACTTGGGAGGCTGAGGCAGAAGGATCACTTGAACCTAAGAGTTTGAGGTTGCTGTGAGCTATGACGTTATGGCACTCTACCAAGGGTGACCAAGTGGACTCTGTCTCAAAACAAACAAACAAAAAAACCCATTACTACAACCTAAGTTACAGAACATGGTTGTATTTTCTCTTAGGCCACCTAAGTGGACCAGATAGTTACTGGTAAACACTACAGCTTGAAATAAAAAAAAATACAGGTCAGCATGAAACCTAAGACAAACCAGAGGAGCTCACTGTAGAAGCCAAGTCTGCAGCTCTGCTACATGTATGCTCCATTTCGTGAATCACAAGCTAATAGTTATTTAGGGCAAACTAAAGCCCACATCAAAGCTACAGAAAAGCACTGTAAGATAGTGTACTTACGTAAAGGGTTACCAGAACTGGAGACAATATTGCTTATTAGGAAGGGTCTCTAACGTCCACAGGACGGACACAGCATTTAATAAGGCGATGTGGATTCAGACAGCCTCTTTTACACAGCATTCCAGACAAAGCTGGGCTAGGCCCTAGGGCGCTCCCGGTGCACCTGCAATGCGGATTCTTCTCCGTGCGATCCCACCCTGGGGCTGGCAGGTGCGGCGCCTGGACCGGCTTCTCCTCTCTCATCACATTGGCGGGGGTGCGCGCTGAGGCTAGTCCGCGCCCTAGACTGGAACCCTGGCAAAGGCGCCCCCTCCCCAAATGGGGCTGGAAGACCCTGCAGGCAGCAGGTAAGGGGGTCCCTACGCCTCACTTTGACCCTCCTTCTTCCTACTTCGTCTTCCCTAAACTTGTCTCGGCAAAAGACGCCCCTGCTCACCCCTACAGCCAGCGTCTCTCCTGGGGGCGGGGCGGCAAGACCGCCGCCCCTTGCAGGGAGGGCTTTTAAAGTCATTTACACAAACTCTAGTCCCCGCCAGGCGCCTCCAGGTGAGCGGGGCCGGCTGGACTAGGCACACCTGGGCCCCGCCTCACCTGCGGGCGCGGCCGTCGCGGTCCTTCAAGCGGCTCCCCGCCTCTGCGCGCTCCTCCCGGCGGGCTGCTGCGGGGGTCCGCGGCCCATGGGCGGGGCAGCGGCGGGCGGGGCTGGCTCGGCTCCGGCCCTGCCCCGGCCGGGCCGCCGAGGGAGGTCAGTGGGCGCCGCCCGCCCAGCGCATCTCGCCGGCTCCCACCCGAGCGCTGGCCGCGGTGCACCCTGGGAGCGGGCCGGCGACTGGGCCTGGCGGCGCTGACCCGACTGGCGGGCGGCAGGCGGGCGGCAGGCGGCCGAGGCGCCGGCGCGGCGGCGGGTCTGTATCTGCGGGGCGGAGCGTGCGGGGCGATCGATACTCACTAGGCGGGGAGGGGGCAACGCCCCCCTCCCCCCAGCTGTAGCGGGGCGTAGGATAAGACCGAGGGGAAGGGAGGGTCTGACCGGTGGGACGCAGGCGCACAGCTCAGGTGCGGCCGCACTGCGGTTGCCCTGGGTAACGCGAGCCCGGGTGGGGGGCGAGGGAGGAGCGAGGGAGGCTAGCGGGAGCGCGCGCGCTGGGCGCTGGGGGTAAGGGGTGGTGCCCGGGCCTGGCCTGGGATGAGGGTTGGGGGCGGAGGCGGGGGCGCGGGCCGGGCGGCGCGCATGCGTGCGGCCCTCGCTCCCCCGGGGCTCGCCGGCCTCGTGCGTGCGCACGCGCGCTGTCCCCCGGAGGCGTCTGGGTGTGCGGAGCGCGCGCGCGCTGCTTGGAGGCGCACCTGTGAGGTGTCCCTGGAGGAGCGGGAGGTGGGTGCACGGAGCTCGCGGCCTGGGGCGCTTGCACCCCGCACTTGGAGTGAGTTCTCGGCAGCCAAGCTGTAGTCTCCTTTATTTCTTTACTGGATGAAGGCCGGTGCAATGGGCAGGGGAGCGGGCTGGGGGGTGGAAGAAGGTTGAGTGGATTAAAGAAAAGAAAAACAACCCGTCACTTAGGATGGGCCTTGAGCCAGGGCCGGCCCTTGGGGATCAGGAGGGAAGGTCAGTACGATTTTTTTTGGCCGGGGGGCCGCCAGGCAGGCCCCGTAGAGCGCAGCTGCCCCCCGGGCCTCTGGAGGGCGGCCGTGGGCCCGCAGTGCTGGGGAGCGGGGCTTGGGGGGGTCACAGATGGCGGCCGGGCGCGAGGCGAAGGATGGGCAGCGGGCAGGGGCGAGGCGGGGCGGAAGCCCCGCGGGAGCCGGACTCCCGAGCTGGGCTCCATTGTTGTTGGAGCCGAGGGAAGGGGGAGCACAACAGCTTTCGAAGCCTGTGGAGCCGCGCCTTGGAACCTTTCCAGGCGGGTCCCCGGAGAGACGGTAATGGCCGCGCCGTGGGATCGGGGAGCCGGGTTGTGCTGCGGAAAAGCTTCCCTGCATAGTGTGATGTTGTGTTTTTTATAGCTCCTTCCGTCCCGGCAGAGGCACACGAACATCCAACTCAGGTGATGAGGAATCCTTCGCGCACCCAGCGCAGGAGGCTGCTGCCACTGGACGCCTCCATTGTTTGACCACAACAAGGGTCGGATTCTCACCCAGGTAAACTGGCGGGCAGCGCCGTCGAGTTCTCTCTCGACTCCAACATCCAAAGAAATTCTGCTCTTTTTCAGGACTTGACTTCGTGTTTCTTACTGCCCCTGCTTCTGTTAAACTCAGTATATTCCCCTCCCAAACATTTTCCCATCCCGATTAATCTGTCAAATCACCTCTCATTTCCCTCAAAACTCAGCTCCTTTGTGAAACCTTCTTGCTGAACTCCAACAACTAAACCTCTATAGGAGCCTGCTTTGTACTGTTCTAGTTGATTTGTTTATTGACTGTTAGTGCAGCAAAGGAGACCAGATACTGAAAAAATACTTCCAAGCGATTGGCTCCTTAAACGGATGTTATGTGGTATTCAGACAGATTATTGTTTTAACAGGATTGTTTTTAAGTATTTTGTCTTCTTTTTTAGAGAGGGCTCCTGCTTAGAGATACATAGCTTTTTTAGAGCAGAAAAATAACCTTCTTGTTCAGTACACAGGTTAATTTAAAATTTAAAATTAGTAGGGTAGTATGTGTTCTTTGTAAAAAGGAACGCATCACGGAGTTGGCAAAACTCTGGCTATCAACCCTTGTCTCCAGAGATAAGGACAATTAACTGTGTGGCGTGTAGATTTTTCAAGATCTTGAAAAATACTTTACTAGGGTGTACTTATGTCATCTCTCACTGTCTTAACAAGTACCATTGTATTCTAAATTTTGGCATGTGAATTGACTCATTTTTTAAGAAATGCTACATCATGTTTTTTAGTTTCTGTACACCGTAGTTTATTTTACAATTTCCCAGATGGCTGGCAATTTAAGTTTTGATTTTAAAACCACATTTTTGATGGTGGTCCTTCTCTGGTGAGATGAAGTTTTCGGAAGGGAGCACAAATCTGCACTAATTACAGAGGCTAAGCGTTTATCAGGAAAGTTCTCTTCTGTTAAGAAATTTACATGTGGGAGCTGCCACCTGTATTACAGTTAGGACTGTATAACTTAGGAGTCATTGGATGACCTTCAGAGGACACTTAATCATTCTGTGCCTTAGTTTTCTTTTCTGTAAACAGTAGTAATACCTGCTCTCTCTGTTTCTTAAGTTCAGTGATGTGCATGTGCTTGATAGAATGTAGTTTATAAAGATTGGTATTATTAGCCTTTGTGATCAAAAAATTGTTTATTTGCAATATAATTTATGTTTTTTACCAGATGTATGTATCATAAACTATAAATAGTCAATTCTTAATTTGTGATTGTTATCATTATCAAATGACAGTACATTAGTCTTAGAGAATATTTTGCAAATATATTTTTTCTTGTGTTTTTGCATGTCTTAAAAAATAAGGCATATAAATTAGTTGACTGTGAGTAAATACATCAGCAAATTGAATACTAGTTAAAACTCTGATTATAATATGTAAGCAAAACTTTATTTTCTGGAGGTGTAAGGTATTTACACTTTCTATGTTAGCAGTAGATTCAAGTTGGCGTCCATGTCCTTCAGGGAAAGTAGAGTTTTTTATTGAATTTGTAGGCAGTACCAGAAAGTTTTAGCAATTTAAATATTGATCAAATGACATAATGGGAAGTATGTTAGGGTGTAAGAGATACAGTTAGGGGCTTTGTAGATATTTTTCTTTTATTCAGCTATATGATTACCTATAGTGTGGCTAACAAAATTAATTTGTCCCCATTCTGTTGGAATGTATAATTTTCAAGGAGTGGATCAGAAATTAAATATAGTCACACAACTACATGTGTAATCACAAACTGTGGTATCTGCTATGAAAATGAAAAAGCACCTGGCATGAGCAAATATAAAAAGAGGACCACATTTTAGATTAGGTAGAGGAGGCCCAGGAAAGACATTTCTATAAAAATAAGTTGGTTTTTTATTTTTTTTGTAGAGACAGAATCTCACTATATCACCCTTGGTAGAGTGCCATGGCATCACACTGCTCATAGCAACCTCCAACTCCTGGGCATAGGCGATTCTCTTGCCTTAGCTTCTGAGTAGCTGGGACCTCAGGCACCCACCACAATGCCTGGCTATTTTTTTTGTTGCAGTTTGGCTGGGGCCGGGTTTGAACCCACCAGCTTCAGTATATGGGGCCGGCGCCCTACCCACTGAGCCACAGGTGCCGCCCTGTAAAAATAAGTTTTAAGCTGAGATTTAAAGGGAGAGTAGGCAATAGTGTTGAGTGAATGGTGGGGGGATTGGGGAGTGATGTGGGGGTTGTAATTTTCCAGGCAGCGGAACAGCATGAGAAAAGTCACTGAAGAGGGAAGAAGCCTTTCCAATTTAGGAACTGAAAGAATGACAGTACAAGGGTAAGAGGATATGTGGCTTGGCCAGACCCTATAGGATCTGTAGGGCAGGTTAAGATGTTTGTATTTTATTCTGAGTGAAATTAGAAACCATTATAAGGGTTGGGTTTTAGGCAGGATGGGGTGACATAATCAGATTTGCATTTGTAAACCCTTTAGTCCCTGCCACATGCAGAATTTGCAGGTGGCGGGGCATGGAGAGCAGAAGGTGGGAATGCCAGGTAGGCCGTTTGCAAGGGCTGTCTAGAAGAGGGCATCTTTTCCTTTGGAATTCGCAGTAAGTTCACACTATCAACTACACTAATGTAAAAATAGATGTTCGATTTTATAAAAAACCTCATTTATTTTTAAAAAGTAGGAAGAAAAAAGGTACTTTATAATGTAAAAAGTGTTAAGTGTTAAACTAGTTGTCCACACTGTACTTAACAGAAAAGCATCAGAAAATCAAACATTTGACATTATCTAACATGATTTTTGTAAGTTTATCAAAGCAATAACATATAATGTAAGAGTGAAGTCAGGATCTAAATTAGCAGGAAAGGAAATATTTATAGATGTTATTGACTAGAAAATCAAGAATAATAGAAAAATCATTAGACAAAAAAATTGGTTAATTGGGTGGTGCCTGTGGCTCAAAGGAGTAGGGCACTGGCCCCATATGCCAGAGGTGGTAGGTTCAAATCCAGCCCTAGCAAAAAAAAAAAAATTGGTGAAGTGACTGGGTACATGGTGTGCATAAAATTAGTAGCTTTCTGAATATCAGAAATAACCTAGCAGAAACTAAAATGGAAAAAAACACAGGCACATAAAAAGCCAGCTCTTAACCACATTGTAGCAAAAACGTGAAACATAGAGGCAGAACCTGATTAAGTCAGGTGTGATCTTCATGGAATGACCATGAAGTATCATGAGAGGTTTGAAAGAATATCATGAATGGAAAGACAGGCCATGTTCCTGGCTGTGATACCTAAATTTTATGGAGATGTCCATTTAGGGATAAACATGTCAAGGTAATGATGGGTAGTAGGGTGAGACAGATAAATTTCAACATACTGTAGAGCCACATTCATTAAAAGTGTCATACTGGCTGTACAAACACTTCACTGGAACCTCTTTAGCACCCCAGAGATAAACTACACTGGAACCTCCATAGCTGACCACCTTCCTACATTGATCGCCTCCTTAAATTGACCTAATTTTCATAGAGTGGACATATAACACATGTACATATCAGTACAGTAGGCCTAGTTCCTTATGTTGACCACCTCCATATGTTGACCAGTTTGTTACAGTCCCTTGAGCAGTCAACTTATAGAGGTTCTAGTGTATTTTACTTGGAAATGTAGTAAATGATAAATCATGAATGTCCCTAAGTCTAAAGAAAATGAAGGTAAATATTGAACATCTAGAAAGAGGAATTATGCCTGATAAAGTGGACAGAGAACAAGTTTTGCAATCAGATGTAGTTTAAATTGGAATTTTTTAAGTGAGGAAAATAATCTCTAGTGAGGTACTTAATAGCACTCAAATCTGTTACTAGTTGCTGCTATAAGAAACACTGGAGAAAATAATAAAAAAAAAACTATGTATTAAACTATATAAGAAAAGTAAAACTTTAAGAAGAAAAGAGAAAATCTTGAGGTATAAAAGCCAAACTGCAGAGTAGGAAAATACTTGTGACAAATGATAAGCGAAGAGTGGAGTGTCTTCAGTTTGTAAAGAACTCTAACAAATCATTGAAGAGAAAATGAACATCTACACCCGAGTGGTTATAGGATATAAATAGTTCACTGGATAGAAATATAACTTGTTATATATTTGAAACATTGTATAATTCACTAGATCAAGTAATTGGTAGTTACTTCTCCATTTTACTTTTACATTCTCAATAGCAACAAAACCAGAAAGCATTTAAGAATAAGACATAAATGTATCAAAACTTTATAAAGAAAAGTAAAAACTTACCTACATGATTTAAAAACTAACCTAAGTAAATGGGCAACATTATATGTTCTTGGAGAGGAAGAGATCATTATAGATTACAGTACTCTCCAAATTAAACTATAATGTCAATGTAATTACAGTTGAAATCCCTGTGGAAATTATTTTTGGACACTTGATAAATTGCCTCTAATATTCTTCTGTTGTAGTAAATGTTCTAGACTGGCCAAAACATTTTTCTGATGGAAAAATAGTGGTGGGATATTTGCTATACCAGAAATCAAAGCATGCTATAATGCTGTGGTAACGTAAATGGTGAGCAGAAGAATATACAGACTGATGCATGGAGCAAAGTAGAATAGAGTAACAGACTAATTTATACGTAGGCATTTACTATGTGATAAAGTTGGTATTTCGCAACAGTTGGGAAATTATCGTTCATTATAGTGTCCAGGGATGTCCAACCTGCAGCATGCTGGTCGCTTGCGGATTTTGTGAGGACTTTTTTTTGCTTATTTGTGGTGGTGGATATTACAAAAAGTATGCATGGACTGGTTTTTTTTTTTTTTGCTCATCAGCTTTCATTAGTGTTTTTGTATTTACCGTGAGGCCTAAGACAACTGTTATCTTCCAGTGTGCAGCAGAAAAGAAAAAATATTGGACACTGATAGGCTCTGTATTTGGAAGGAAACATCCTACGTCACCGTATTCAAATGGTTGAGGAACTAACTTTAAAAAAAGACCCA